CTGGGTAACAATCTAAATTCACGTCTTTTCTTGCCTATTTAAGCATTTGCCCCCAATAGGCTAAAGTAAACTCTGGCAACTCTATTTGTGACTCTTTCACGCAAAAACTACTGAACGGATTTTGATGTAACTTTACACTATAACACATAGGCTATATTTTATTTTGAAATTTATATATTTTTATTTGACGTGGGTGAAACAGCGGGCACAGCTAGTCCGAAATGATCCAAAGCTACGCAAACAAGCTGAAGAATAATAATAACCCTGTATAATTCACACAACGTCATTTAGTCCCAAACTATAGGGGACGGCCTCGGTGGTCTAGCGGTTCAACACACCGGTTTACTTCCGATGGTCGCGGGTTCGATTCCTCGCATGGATACATTTGTATTCATGAGTATGATTGTTTGAATCGGTCTGAGCTAATAAATACATATATAATATACATAGAAAACACAAATCATAAATTCAATGTTAGCATCGTGCGAGGAATTGAACCCGCGAGTTTTTCTGTAAGATTATAGCCTTGTATCATGTAATACGTAAGTTGATAGTGTCATTCTACAATAGATGCTGTCAGTCTCCAGTCAATCACGCCGTCAGTATATCTGTCGTGAATAAGATTTTATTATTTTTACGTTATATTATTTGTATATAGTTATAGTATTACGTTATTGGGAGTGGTTGGTTTTGTGGGACTTGACCACGAGCTGTTGAAGGGAAGTGACGTTTGTTATATTTTAATTATTAAATCCTAAATTATCTAAGTAATCATTGTTACATTTCTGAGATAAGGGAATTGATTGAATTAGTGCTAGTTAGTACTTTGTATTCACACGTTTCAACTTGAGAAATGTGAATTTATAAGGGTTATTGAAAAGAGCAACACCCAAGTTTCTTGCTCGTTCTTCTTATGATGTGACAGCTTTCCGAATGAGCGGTAGATTAAAAAAAAAGTCATGACTATTCAAAAGACTTGACCACGAGTTGTTGAAGGGAAGTGACGTTTGTTATATTTTAATTATTAAATCATAAATTAACTGAGTAATCGTTGGTTTATTTCTGAGTTAAGAGAATTGACTCTCATTTTGAATAAAGATTATTTCTATTTCTTCGTATAACCACCATCGATTGCAGAGTAGCCAGTTACCGTGGGCGTTAAAATAGTTGTTATCAATGTCATTAACAGTAATCTGTTAATGGGGCTTTTACCATAACGAAGGGTGGGGCCGTGACGTCACGGTGCAAGCTGACAAGGTCACTATAAGCTTCGACTTCACTCCAGTTAGGGTTGCCAGGTGTCCGGATAAAACTGGACAGTTAGGCATTATGATCGCGTGTCCGGCCAAAATAAACAGCGGTTAGCTGGTTCTTGTTAGGCTTTGTATATTTCGCTATCGTGCGAGGTAATAATAAAAAAAGCTTGATTTTATATTTAACTAGTTTTTGCCCGTGGCTTCGCTCGCCTTAATTAACCCAATTGGAATTAATAAATTATAATAAATTATATAAATTGAATTGGTTTACATTTACAAGTCGAAACGTGTGAATACAAACTACCAACAAGGAATTTAAATATCAAAATTCTTTCACGAGTTGAGGGGATGCATAGGTCATAATAGCTTTCTGCATGCAAAGTCTCAGCCCGATCGGTTTAAAATTGACAAAGTTTCATACAAAGTTTCATCCCCTATTTTATCCCTTTGGGGGTAGAATTAATCAAAATTCTTAGCGGATGCCTACGTCATAACATCTACCTGCATGCCAAATTTCAGCCCGATCCATCCAGTGGTTTGGGATGTGCGTTAGATCTGCGCGATAGATCACTACGTCAGTCACCTTTGAGTTACCATATTTAGAATTTTTTGTCGTTCATGTTAATAATGTAACCTACATTGATGAATTATGTCTCAGTATTAACAATCCGGCCTTTTTACCCAAATGTACGGCCAAACTGGCTGACTAATAGGTTAGGCGACCTAGCAACCCTAGTTTCAGTTGATGAACGTGTAGTTAGTAAAAAATGGTTATTTCAATATTACAAACAGACACTCCAATTTTATTTATATGTATAGTTTTTATAAATTATAACTTACTCAAATACTATGTGTTCTGATAAGCTATATAACAATTACGTCAGTGTGTGTCGCATTTTTACATAATTTAGAACTTGGTTTATATATTTAACATATAGACATTTATAGATATATCTATGTGTTCTTACACACATAACATGTTCATGATAAAAAATACATAATACAACCTATATAACAATTACGTCAGAATTACAGAAATACTTGACTTAGATATAATACTTGTTTATTTTTACATAATTTAGAACTTGGTTTATATATTTAACATATAATAGAGAAGATTAGCAATTTATTTTATTTATATTCATTTATTAATTTAGAAATAATATATATATAATAATATTTAATTATAGAATTTGCAATTATTTTTTACCAAGGTAGAGTAGGCATTCAGTTATTCCAAAATGGCCGCTAGCTGTCACATTAACTGCGTTTTCGCGCCAAAACAAACCTTGTAGTGTCCTCGCCGTCTCAATGTGGTGGAATCAAAGAAAATCCACTTTTACTGTTTCCTTTGAAGAATAAGTTTTGAAGATGTGCCTTTAAATCACCAGCTAATTTACGTGAGAGATATTTTAAAGATTAAAAGTAAGAATAATTGATAAAGTCGTCAAGTCTTTTTAATTTTTTTTAACTTGGATATATGAGACTAAGGCATTTAGTTCCAAACAGCTTGCGTCATTAGGTATAAATTTTTTTTTGTAAACCTACTAATATTATAATTGCGAAAGTTTGTGAGTATGCATGGATGAATGTTTGATACTCTTTCACGCAAAAACTGCTCAACGGATTTTGATCAAACTTTACAGTAATATAGCTTATACATCATAGTAACAATTAGGTTATAAATTTCACGCGGCTGAAATCGCGAGAACAGCTAGCATATATCTATGACTTAATGAAATGTAATGAAACTTCCATTTTAATCATCGAACTGTTGCGTGTTCTGTCGACCTACAAAGTAATTGTTTTCATAACAAGTATATTTATCACCATTCCGACATTGAATATCTACTTCCGCTCGTATTTACATCAATTTATGCGTTTCCCACAATTTTCTTAAAATAAACGCTCCAGGACATAAACACATACTGCTATAGCAGACAAGCGAGCGCATTCTGTTAAATTATTAAACAAAAAACCACATGTTTACGTAATGTTATAAACAACTTACTATTTTAAAACCATTCGTTTCTATAATTATGCTTTCTTTAACACAAATGTTATCATGAATTCTAAGTCTAAAAATACGTTTGTTTCTCTAATTTGTGTGCGAGATATGAACAGATGAAGTGAAAATCGGACTAAGTTTTGACGTCATCGAATCGGGATTCATTCGAAATTTAAAAACTCAATATTAGTATATTGAACATGTAGGATCAGTAGAAAGGTAGGTATACCAAACTATAAACCAGTTTAATCCAAAGAGGTGCAAAATGCTTTTACAGGAAATGTCCAAATTCTGATTTTATATTGGTCAATTGTCATTTTTAAATACTTACCAGTATTTATATTAAATAAATAAAATTTGAAATTATTCTGTTACTTTCTTAAACTTGTATTATGTATTATGTTTTAATTTCACGATCATCTATTATTGTACACATTTATATAAACGGTACATTTTTTTTTATTTATTTAATTAATAAAGATAAAAATAAAGCGTTGGATATTCAAATTTAAATTAAAAAATCATTTATTCATATAGGACATTTTAGCCGCTTATGAATGTCAAAATTTTTATATTAGAATTTTTTCTCTTCCGTCCAGTTCAGTATATAGATCCAATTGAGAAGAACTGGCCAGAAACTCAATTAAAATATATTTTTTTAAATGCCAGTTTACTTACTATGTATATTTATATAGGTGTCTATGTCTAACATTAAATGAAAATCCCGTGCATTAACTACTAACGTGAGTCAACTAGTGCCATGCACGCTCGTCATTCAAGTAATCGTTTAGTGAATATGATTTAACAGATATTTTAAATTTATTTAAGGGTAATTCCAGTATATCCTTTGATATCTTTTATTATACATTTTTATACCTATTCCAATAAAAGACCTATTGACTTTTCTAAACGATACTTGGGACAGCAAGTTTGTCTTTAAATCTAGTATTAATATTATAAATTATGATAAAAAATATTTTCTCAAAAATATTGTGGAGTTTCCCTTTGATTGGTTATGTTGCGTCTTGACGTTTTGCCAGAAGTATATTTACTTAAATGTAGTTACTTTAAATCATTAAAGTTCAATGATCCGTGTCATTTTTTTTTAGTAAACAAATAAACAAAAATATTTTAGTATACAAAAAAAAAAGATGTTCATTGATTTCAAACTCAGCTTTAAAAAGTTATAATATAATAATAATATCTCTGTGCAATTCACACAGCGCCATCTAGTCCCAAGGTAAGCAGAGCTTGTGTTTCGAGTACAGACGAGATATAAATACTTAGGTTTTTTTTAATACATACACAATATACATAGAAAACACCCAGACCTATACAAGCAATACAAATGTTTGCACCATGCGAGGAATCGAACCCGAGACCATCGGAAGTAAAGTGCTAAACCACTACATCACCGAGGCCGTCGTGTGTTATATATATTACAAGGTATACATATAGTAATAATAACAATATTTCAGGAAAATTCACACAGCGCCATCTAGTCCCAAACTAAGCAGAACTTGTGTTATAGGTACTAGACAACTGATATAAATACATGGATACATTTTTTTTTGTAAATAAAAATGTATGATATGTGACTTAAAAGCCGGACAAAGTACTTGCAATTCGCCTGGTGGCGCGAGTGCCCATGGGCGGCGGTTCGTAATATCAGGTGAGCCGCATGCTCGTTGTCTCCTGTACTATAAAAAAATGTATATTATGTGTGACGAACTCACCGGCGTAATGTAGGGCTGTCTCGAAGGGCACCCGCTGTACTCGATCCTTGTTTTCTGCCAACAAACAAAAATAGATCAGTCTCGGACCAAGTGCCAAACATTCAGCGAATACGGCTGTATTGATACAGGGAAATGTGACAACAACACGTACAGACTGGACTTTACACTTTATATATATGTACATCTATACATATAAATAAAATTGAAATGTCTGTTTGTAATATTGGAATAACCGTTTCTTACTACATGCATATGAATATAAATACGGTACATACACCAAAATAACATTATTTACAATTTTTTACACCAAAATAACATTATTTTATTAGCAGGTAGCTGATGTAATAAGGTGTAGAATAAGAATAGAATAGAATAGAAAATCATTTATTCAAATAAACTTACATTGAAGCACTTTTGAATAGTCATAACATTTTTTAATAGAATAAAATAGAAAAGCATTTATTCAAATAAACTTACATTGAAGCACTTTTGAATGGTCATAACATTTTTTTTTAATAGAATAAAATAGAATAGAATAGAAAAGCATTTATTCAAATAAACTTACATTTTAGCAATTTTCATAACATTTTTTTTTAATCTACCGCTCATTCGGAATGCTGTCTCATCACAAGAAGAACAAGCAAGAAACTTGTGTGTTGCTCTTTTAAATAATTTATTCTTACTTACAATTTAAGTTTAAGTGTGTGAATACAAACCACCGATTAGCACTAATCAATGAAATAATAAAATAGAAAAAACATTCAATATACAACAACTGGTTAAACAATTAATAAGAGAAAATAAGTCATAGTGATTAGAGCAGACCAGTCCACACAAGCAGCACCCGTTCACGAGTATGACGGATGAGCCAGCCACCACTGCGCTCGACCATATTTTAGGGAGCCCAATGACCCGGCCCACCACGCCGCCACAAGTCTGGACATTTTAATGAGCATGACTACTCAAAACATCAGACCACGTCATAGCTACTCACAATTGCCATCTGATGGTTATAGTATTCACATTTTACATAAGAATGCATGCGGCAATCAATACAAAAACCGCTACGCTTTCATATTTCTAAAATAATTGAATCAAGAAAGCAAAGAGATAAACAAATTATAACGTTGTATGCTAATAAACTAATAATCTACCGCTCATTCGGAATGCTGTCTCATCACAAGAAGAACAAGCAAGAAACTTGTGTGTTGCTCTTTTAAATAATTTATTCTTACTTACAATTTAAGTTTAAGTGTGTGAATAGTAACTTAGACTACTTTTATTTTAGAAAAATAAAGTTAAATTACACGCAGACGAAGTCGCGGGTGCAACGTTAAATGTTAACTAGTAATAGCAGTGGGGGGTGGTGAGGGGTGGGGGTGCGTAATAAAATAACAGTGTAAGTCAATTACACTGAATGTTGCCATTAACCTAAAAATAAAAGTCGAATAAACATGGTCCTTTGACGGCCTCAGTGGCCTAGCGGTTTAGCACACCGTCTTACTTCCAATGGTCGCGGGTTCGATTCCTCGCACGGTATAAACATTTTGTATTCATGAGTATGATTGTTTGTATCGGTCTGGGTGTTTTCTATGTATAATATGTATGTATTTACGAAACAAAATATATATCTATGTATTTGTATCAGTTGTCTAGTACCCATAACACAAGCTGTAGCTAACTTAACTTGGGTCTAGATGGCGCTGTGTGAATTGTCCTGAGATTATTATTATTATTACTGGCCCGGTAATAGTAATGCTAACTGATATTAGAATGATAACATTGCACTTATACGTTACTAGCTACTCGCCCCGGCTTCGCACGGGTGTACATGTAATATATATATAAACCTTCCTCTTGAATCACTCTATCTATTTAAAAAAAACCGCATTAAATCCGTTGCGTAGTTTTAAAGATTTAAGCATACATAGGGACAGACAGCGACAGCGACTTTATTTTATAATATGTAATGATAAGAATGTGTTATTTAGATGTATAAGCTATATTACTATATTCATCAAAATCTCTTTAGTAGTCCAGTATCCATACACACAAACTTCCGCGTTTATTATATGAATTAGATACTAGCATCTGTAAAGGAATATATATATATACTTATATATTTATTATCTGTACATCTGTACATATAAATAAAATTGGAGTGTCTGTTTGTAATATTGAAATAACAGTTTTTTACTACATGCATATGAATATAAATACGGTACATACACCAAAATGACATTTTTTACAATGTCTGTCTGTCTGTTTGTTCCGGCTAATCTCTGAAATCGCTGGACCGATTTTGACGGGACTTTTTTTGGCAGGTACCTGATGTATTAAGGAGTAACTTAGGGGTACTTTTATTTTAGAAAAATAAACTTATACTACACGCGGACGTAGTCGCGGGTACAGTTAGTACGTAAATATATACTGAAGGCGATCAACCAGATACTTGGGTCGACCAAGGTCGATGGTTGTGTTACGTTTAACCACGAATTTAATGGTTCAACGATGATAAGAGTGACGAATATAAATTAAATGGAATTGTAGTTGAAATAACAATACACGTCTTAAATATCGTGGTTTTTCTTTCTTTATTTTTTTCTTTATTTTTTTTTTTAATCCCACAACAAAGGAGATACCTGCCCTTAGATTTTTTTGGGGATTTTAAAGAGGTATATTAAGGTTTCTTAAGGGTCGACATCTTTATTTTTTTCTTTCTTTATTTTTTCTTTATTTATTTATTTTTTTCTTTATTATTTTTTTTAATCCCACAACAAAGGAGATACCTCCCGCGTGCCCTTAGATTGTGGAATGAACTACTGTGGAGACTACAGCATGGTTTTTCAAGAAGGGTATATTAAGGTTGCTTAAGGGTCGACATCTTTATTTTTTTTTTCTTTATTTTTTTCTTTATTATTATTTTTTAATCCCACAACAAAGGAGATACCTCTCGCGTGCACTTAGATTGTGGAATGAACTACTGTGGAGACTACAGCATGGGTTTTTCAAGAGGTATATTAAGGTTTCTTAAGGGTCGGCATTTTTATTTTTTCTTTCTTTATTTTTTTAATCCCACAACAAAGGAGATACCTCCCGCGTGCCCTTAGATTGTGGAATGAACTACTGCAGAGACTACAGTATGGGGTTTTTCAAGAATGGTATATTAAGGTTTCTTAAGGGTCGGCAACGCGCACGTGACACCCCTGGTGTTTCAGGCGTTCATAGGCTACGGTAACCGTTTACCATCAGATGGACCGTATGCTTGATTGCCATTATAGTAGTATAAAAAAATAGGCTGTTTTATTTAGCACTAGCTGTGCCCGCGGTTGCACGCGCGTTAATTTTCGACAAAAAATATAGCCTTTATGTTATTCTGATGTTACATGTACATGTTATTAATATTATAAACGCGAAAGTTTGTGAGTACTGAACGGATTTTGATGACATTTTATAATAATACAGTTTACACATCAGAATATTTAGGCTATAAATTTCAATTGCCGCGGGTGAAACCGCGGGCTAGTCATAATAATAAGTATTGTGTTACTAGACCAGTGATTCCCAAAGTGGTCTATATCGACTCCCAGGGGTCTATGACAAACTGCATGGAGCCTACGACAGCGGTCATCTTGTTGTTTTTACTTTATATTTTTAACACTAAACTTTACTACAGTTAGAAATTTACAAAAAATGAATACCAGGTAAGAATCGACCCAAATTCCGATCCAGAACCAAAAAATTTGGCAAGTGATCTACGACACAAAAAGGTTTAAGAACCTCTGGTCTAGACGATTGACAGAAAAACTTAAAAAATAAATACCAGTCTACCCAAAACCGACCAAATTGGCAAGTGAACTACGACACAAAAAGGTTTGGGAACCTCTGTACTAGACGATTGACAGATAAACTTAACACCTCAGGCGCCATGTGTATGTATTTGTCACCGTGTCTGGAACACTGTGTATTCAAAAGCATACACATCTTTCTACTTAGTAAATGCGTCGTGTATGGTTCAGGAACACGTTTTCTATACATCTATATATATATATATAGATAGAGAGAGAGAGATAGAGAGTCTAAAGAGAGACAATTCAAATTTTATATTAAACAAATGTAAAAAAGCCTATTTATAGGATAGATGAATTTATAGATGATAGAATAGAATAGAATAGAAAATCATTTATTCAAATAAACTTTATTTAAGCACTTTTGAATAGTCAACATTTTTTTTAATCTACCGCTTATTCGGAAAGCTGTCTCATCACAAGAAGAATAAGCAAGAAACTTGTGTGTTGCTCTTTTAAACAATCCTTGTAAGTTCACATTTTACAAGTCGAAACGTGTGAATACAAACTACCAACCAGCACTAATTTATTTAGGCTCAAATATAAAAACAGAATAAGATTAAATCAGTCGTAGTGATAAGAGCAGACCAGTCCCTACAAGCAGCACTCGTTCACGAGTATGACGGATGAGCCAGCCATCACTGTGCTCGACCATATTTTAGAGAGCCCAATGACCCGGCATAAAAAAAAATTGATGATGATGAGGTGACGATGAGGTGTCGCTATTTAATATATTATTTATTGTAGTATATTGGTATTGGTAGTGGCCCCCTATTTACCGGTATACCGGTAAATAGGGGGGGCGGGATTGTTAGTAATGTGGACTCATGACCCCATTGCTAGCAATGTACCATGTCAGATTGACCTCCACGCGGTTCCCCCTGGAAACCATCGTGATACATTCCTGGTGAATTTGTCACGATGGGCTAACTGATCTGACGTCATGCTCATTCTATCATCCTCCACTAGTGCCCCGCCAGCGTAAACTGTTAGCGCAGGCGGGTGGACCATTCCATTATCATCCTTAAAAAAAAAACATCTGACAATAGCCCAAACAACCCGATAAAAAATTTAAAAAAAATTGTAGCGCGGTGGTTATCCTCACCACTTTAGCGTTATAATAATAATAATAATAATAACAACATCTCAGACGGTTGGGATTCCGGGGCGGTTCACTCCCGGGAAAGATGCAGAAAGCGGTGCTCT